CGTGGTGCCTGGAAGGTGTTTGACTTCTAGCGGGGGGGTTAAATGCTGCCTTCAGTCTCAGAGGCAGTGTGCCTGTCTACTGGTGCAGGGGAATGTGGGTAGGAGAGTGCTGTCGCACCAATGTCCCGCATGTGGATCTCCTACAGGCAGCTATTTGGCTGCGACATGAACAGCAAGTCTGGACGGAGCATGGCCTCATCTGGCAGGGCTTGTTCCTGTGAAGACAGTGCTCAGTGGGAAGGTGTTCTGAGGAAGGGCTCTTACCAGCAGGCTCCTTTTTTCAACTCACAAAAATAGCTGCCCAATTCCTTCTGGTGGCTGGCATAAGACACCTCTGCCTGGAAGAACCCTACCCAGTTGGCAAGCTGGGCTGCACCCTAACCTAAGGTGGCTCATACCTGGATCAGCACCATGATCTGGGGGCTTTTCTATGCAGGGCTGGTTTTATTGCAGGCTTATGATCCGAGCACTGCAGCAGAGCCGTTTCCTTTCCTGCTTCCCTGTTCCATAACCTCTAGACGGCACTGTGATATAGCAGAATAGCACAAATACACAAGCAAAAACAGCCCTTTCATCCACTTTCAGAAAGAATACCTGATTTTCCCTGCTGTAAAAAACCCCCTGCTGTTTGAAAACTGAAGCAAAATTAGGGGATCAACTTGAGATCATCTAGAGAATTCATAATAAGTAGGGAAAGACAAGAAAAGAATAAATGCCTTGTTTAGAAAAGCCCCAAGATTGTTCCACTGCATCCATAGAATCATAGAATAGTAGAGCTGGAAGGGGCCATGAAGGCCAGCGGGTCCAACCAGCCCCCTGCTGTCCAAACGAGTATGCACAGAATTTCAGTTTTACCCATGACTGACATACAAGACACTGGGGCCAATATTGGTATCCGAGATCTTTCTTCTTTTGACGCGTTGCTGCTGTGACTCATCACACCCCGCTTGCTTTGTTTACGTTCCTCATGTATTTCCACTAGCGTCATGGTAAATGTTGACAAGCAAGAGTCCCGACTTCCCCCTCAATCTGTCACAAACAGCAACAACACTTAGAGGCTCTGCTGCCACCTGGTCAGAGCAGGCAGGGCCGTTGCAGTGGTGCACCAGCCGATGACATTTAATACCAAACCAAACTCCCACCCATCCTCGGGAAAGCTTTGGCGGGGTTTGCCCAAGATATCTGGCCGCCTGAAGCAGGGAACAAAAAGGTCCCGTTTCTCCTTTTCTCACAGAAGTGAAAACTGAACTGGCAGCTGCACATTGGCAATGGGGCAGCACCCTTCATCGTGCCCGAAGGCAGCAAGTTAGCTTGGCGGTCATGGGGCAGTCTGAGAAGCACCCCGGACACCTCTGTTCTCCAATAGCTCATGGCCATTCCCTGTCCCTCAGCATCTGCTGCCTGAGGCAGGGGCTCCACCTTGCCTGATGGTAAAGCTGGCCCTGCACGGCGCTCTGGGATCTGTAGTAGAGCAGCATCTGATCATGTTCCTTCTCTTACCATGTTGCCTTGTTCTGTTGCAATCATTGCACTGTCTTGAGCCAACAGGATGCAAAGCAATTCTTTCCTTCCTGTTCGTGCCATCACTTCAGGCACTCCTTTCAGGGACTAGTAAATATCAGAGAACAAACGTGGGGCTACCCTTGAAGACGGTCCGGATACTTCAATTGGTTCAAAATAGAGCTGCCAGGCTGCTGACGGGGACTGGGCATTGTGTTCACATGACTCCAGTTCTCAGTCAGCTTCACTGGCTTCCCATTGAAGTCCGGGCCCAATTCAAGGTGTTGGTTATGACCTATAAAGCCCTAAATGGCTTGGGACCTGGTTACCTGAAGGAGCGCTTACATCCATATATGCCCGACCGCCCTTTGAGATCTGTGGGAGAGGCCCTTCTCCGGGAACCCTCCATGAAAGAAATTAGGAGGGTGGGTACTCGGAGGAGGGCTTTCTCTGCGGTGGCGCCTAAGTTATGGAACGTGCTCCCCAGAGAGGTCCGCCTGGCGCCGTCATTATTTGTTTTTCGGCGCCAGGCGAAGACCTTTTTATTCAAGCGGCATTTTAACTGTTAATATTATTGGATTTTATCTGGCCAGGGCGGCTTATTTTATACTGTATTTTTGTATTTTCAATTTCATGTTTATGTTTTTGATTTACATTATAATTATTTTAACAAGTGAAACACACAAGAAAAAGCCGGCAATTCACATAATTATGTGCTTCATTTTATCCCATTCTTTTCCCAAGTTTTCCTCAACCTGGATCCTGCCATACTGCCACTCTATATGACTCGGGTGCTCCCACAACTGGAGTATTATGTTCAGTTCAGGGCTCCACATTACAGGAAAGATATACTCAGGTTGGAATTGGTGCAGCGTAGGGCCACCACGATGATGGCTGGATTGTGGGGGAAACGGTATGAGGTGAGACTGAGGGAACTGGGTCTTTTCAGTTTGGAGAAGAGGAGACTCTGAGGGGATCTGTTGGTGACATACAGGTATGTGAGGGGGTGCCATGCAGAGGAGGGTTGAGACCTGTTCTCCCCTGCAGAGCAGGGCAGGATGCACTCCAATGGAGCAAAGCTTGGGGAAGCAAGGTTCCATTTGGATGCCAGGAAGTACTTCCTGATGGTTAGGACCCCGAGGGTATGGAGTGGGCTTCCACGGGAGGTCATTGAGGCCCCATCGGTGTGGGTGTTCAAGGATAGGCTGGTAGGCATGTCATGAATGGAGCTGACTGGAGCCAGGGGTCAGGCTAGGTGGTCTGGGAGGCCCCTTCTGACTTGTGCTATGCTTCCATGTTTCTGTATATATTGGACTTAAACTCACATCAGCCCATGACAGCATGGCCAGTGGTCAGCAATGGTCCGTAAAGGCTTGTGGCTCTCAAGTCATTCAGGCAGCTGTTTAAAAACAAGCAAGCAAGTGGCACCAGACAGCACAGCCAGGTTATTAAATTTACTATACATTTAACACTTGTAAAATTAAATGTAAAAAATCTCAGATTAAACTTAAAATTCTTTAATTAGATCTAATTTATAAATTAGATTTTAGAATTGGTATAAAACACCAGCTTCAGTCACAAATAATATGCTACAGTCCCACTGGTGTTTTAAACTGAAACATTTCCCATGCAAGAATTTGATTTATATTGTTTTAAATAAGTTTGATCTATGGGGTTTTTTTTAAATGAACATTTTAAATTTATATACAATTTATAAACTGGATGCACTTTTGGGGTTCATTTAGTGTGTTTGGTTGGAGCACTGTGTTACACACAGTTTGCATGCTTGTTGTTTGAAAAGGATGGTAACTGTGAGGGATCTCCCCATGGTGTCAAACCCTCTCCCCAAAATAAGTTCAGCACCACGGATAGTTCCTGTACAATTCAAACTGGGACCAGGGGTTGCTCAACCCGCCTATCAACACCAGAGCCATCAGACATCGCTGGTTGAAGTCCAAAACATCTGAAAAGCAGCAGGCTAAGGAACTGCTCCACCAATCCCTTTCTATCTTCACAACAACTCTGTGAGGTAGATTAGCTTGAGAACAATTGGCCCAAGGTCATCTAGTAAACCTTAGGGCTGGGTGAGAATTTGAAGCCAAGATTTCCTGACTGTAGCTGGACACTCCAACTATTTCACAACACTGGTCCTAAAAATCAGACATCATTAAGAGCCTTTGAAAACCTAAGAGAACAGGACAGAATTTGTGGGGTGTTTTATCATTGCATCGTATTATATTGTGGCATATCTTTGGTGTTACACTTTCTTGTATGCCTTTCTGATATCTTAGAAATATTAGGCGAATATCTATCAGTAGGTAATAGAAATTTCTGTCCTGCTTTCAGGCTTGGATTTCCCTGCTTACTGCTGTTGCTAAATTAGCTGGCACTGAAAAATCCATGCAGAGTTCAGGCCAGCCCAAAAATGCTTCACACACCATTTTTTTCCTGCACAAAATAATTAATCTGTGTAGAAGTACCAGCTTTCAGTAGCCAAAAACTGAGTCAGGAGTTGGGCCAAGAATTCCAAGCTGAGGACTGTAAAGCCAGGATGACCTGTTGCTTGGACAATGCTCCAGTCGAAGCAGGAAGTAATTTATGGCAAGGCTGGCATGGTTGGGCAACTGCTAAGGCTCCACAGCTCACAGGGGTCCACTGACAGCAGTCCCCCAGGAATTGCTGCTCCCCTTCATCACAGCAACCTGCCTAGACATAGGCAGAAGAAGAACATGTGATATCCCTGCTGGTCAAGCAAGCAAGATCGATCGGGGGGGCAGAGCAGCTGGGACCATAGTAGTGAGAAGGGAGGAGGCCCATGGAACAGGTCTTGAGAGGGCTCTCCAACTTGAAGCCCACACTGTTTGTAGTTCTTCCCATCTAGGAGGCCAAGGGCCAGGCTGCGTTGGTGTGTTTTATAGAGAGCCTGAAACATTGCACCGACAGGAGGATGGGGCTGCAGTTCTGGTATGGGGCACCCACTCCCAGAGTCAAAAGTTTTGGGTTCTAGTCCCAGTGGTGCCTGATAATCACCACCCTGGGGAAACCTCTGCACCACCATGTAGGAGAAGAATGCAAATTCTTCTTGGCTTTGGAAGGCACCATTTGAAACAGTTTCCAATCATGTAACACAACAGATCCCTGTGCAAGTTGCATATATGATCAGGGTGCTGTCCAGGGTTGGCATGGCTGGTCATCAGCAAAGGGAGCTCCTCCCTCTGTTCACCATGGCAACCCACTGGTTCAGTTGCCTCTCAGCTGGACCACATGGTGGTGATGAGGAGGAGGAAGAACTGGAAAGATGCCACTGCCTTGTTGCTCACTGGCTCTACCAGTCCAGCAAGGAAGGAGAAAGAGGAGGAGTGAAAGCAGCTGGTGACTAAGGTGTTGAGTAGGTGGATTCATTGAAGGAGGGGGTCCATTGGGGGTGTCTTGTCGAAGGGCCCGCAAAGACCTGGAGGCAGCAGTATTTGAAAGGTTGGTTTCTCTGTATTGTACACCAGTGTTCTTCAACCACCGGTCCACGGAACAGCACCAGTCTGCCAGCATTTCCTGCCATCCGTGAAGAGCCACTTTGTGTATCTCGTTCGCCAGGACCAGCACGGGGCTAGCTGTACTCGCGCTTTCAATTCCCCTGCCTCTTCTTCAGCAGAGGAGGCCAGGAAGGGAAGAACGGCTCAATGGGAGCTGTGGCACACCGGTCCGTCCTCTGGGCGAGGGCCTGAAGACCACGCCTTTTCCTTTCTCTGCTGTGTTTTCTACTGAGAAGGGAAATGTAGAGGCAGGATTGTGCTGAGAGTGTTTGCTCAGCCAGTCTGTGCTGGTGTGTATGGGGGTTTGAGTTCTATTTCATTATTTAACATTATCAATATTATTGTATTAAGTAACTTCGTTTGATTTTGTATTGCTCTGCTGTTAATACTGTATTTCAATTTGAATTTGCTATGAGCGTAGTATTGCATTTATATTGATTTTCTATTTTGCTATTGCAAATTTTAATATTCTTGAATTTCCCAGTAGCCTCTCTAAAAATTTCAGTTGTATGTGATTTCATTTTATTTCAATATTTTATTCTTTTATTAGTATCTTTTACTGCTCAGTTTCTGGTTATTTTACAGAATTTTCAGTTTTTGATACTATATGTAAAAACTAATACACAAAATACTACATTATGTATATAATGCTTTTTATTTCTGTCTCAGCTGTCCCTGAAATAATTTTGCTATTTTTGCTGGTCCCCACCTGTAAAAAGGTTGAAAACCACTGTTGTACACTATATGCATAGATTAAATGCTCGGTTTGGATAAACCTGAATAAGGAGAGCATGCCAGGAAGAGAGGGACGCTGGGTGGGAGGCGGATGGGACACCCTGCCTCAGAAAGCCAGTGGAGTAAGTGTGCAAGTTAATGAGCGAGCTGCGAAGGAAGCTCTGAGGATTGGCCTCGTAGTCCCTGCAAGGAAAAGAATGGCTGTAGTTGTCCGCCTCTCCTTTTTTCTCGGGGGTTTTTTCCTTATGTATGTCTTGTATCCATATGCCCTCCTTCCAAAAGGCCCAGGCAGCATGGAGGGAGACTATCCACACGAGGTGCCTGCTCTGCTGTAGCCATACTGTTCACCCATTTCTGTTGGGCGTTCACAGATTTGCCTCTGTTTATGGAACACTCCCTGAGGAAGGTCACTGGGAATGAGCACTGTCCTTTTAGTGCCAGCTGCCAAGCAAAGTCATACAGTCTTTCAGGCATTTGAATGTTACCTATGGCCTGACTATGAGGGGCTGAAGAAACTCTTCCTGGACCCAGAAGAATTCGGTGACTTTAGGTGGTAGCAAACATCCCCTGCAAGGCTCTTGAGCAGGTGGTGTCAACCCTCTCCAGGCGCTCTTGGACGAGAGTGATTATCTGGTCCCATGTCAGGCCTGGTTTTGACACAAAACGGCCTTGGTCACCGCGTGTGTTGACCTCTGCTGGGAGAGAGACGACCCTGTTGGTTCTCCTGGGCCTCTCGGAGGCTTTCGGTACCACTGACCATGGGATCCTTCTGCCGTGTCTGAGTTGGGTGTGAAGGGCTCTGCCATGCTGTAGCTCCACACCCACAGGGATGGCAGCCTGCAGGTGGCGGCACTGGGCGGGATCTGGTTCTGGCCTTGGATCCTCCAGTGGGGTTCCTCAGGCATCAGTCTGGTCCCTCACGCTGCTGGACATCTGCATGAAACTGCTGGGCAAGGTCATCCGCAGCCTTGAAATGCACTGCCATCAGAACGCTGATGACATGCAGCTTGAACTCTCCCCTTCGTCTTCAGTAGGTGAGGTTGTGGATGTGCTACACAAGTTCCTGGTTGACTCAATGGACTGGAGGAGGGCCAGCGAACAGCTCAGTCCAGACAAGACTGAGAGGCTGTTCTTCAGACTGGATGGAGGGAATCCAACATGTTCTGGATGGGGTTCCACTTCCCCGGGAGCAGGTTGGTAGCTTGGGGTGCTCCTTGAGCCATTGTGGTCACTCAAGAACTGGGTGGCTTCAGCAGCTCAGAGAGCCTTCTACCAGCTTTGGCTAGTGGTTAAGAATGTCCACTACTGCAGGTCATTTAATTAGTTTACTGGGGCTTTGTTAGTTGCTTAATTAGGTTGCAAGATATCTTGTTTAAGTTAGTGGAATGTTATGTGTGTTTTAAATTTGATTTTAAATATTGTACAGCAACTTTTTTATGTGGCATACTGTGTTGTATTTTAGATTGTATTTTAATGGGTTGTTGTATACTACTTGGAGAACTTCAGCTAATGGGCAGAGTGGGTCATCGATTTATTTATGCTGTTAGCTGTCCAAAGATGTTAGTAATTGGACGGCATACAAATTTTATAAACAAACAAAGAAAAGTTCAACTCTTCCTCATCTCCTCCGCCCCCCCCCCCCATAGAAACATTCTAGTTGATTCCACACTGGTTCATTCTCAGCATTGCTCTTTATGTCTGCAGAAAATGCCCTGGAAGTCCAGTGCTTACTTCGTAAATGCTGCTTTTGAAGAAGGGGTGTCCTGTGTCAAGTGGAGTCAAGACAGAGAAGCTAGAATTCAGCAAGGCATGGTGCTGAAAGCCAAGTCCAAAGGTAGCTCGAGCTCTCGTGGTTCTTCAGGGAGCAAAGTAGCCCAGCACTGCAAACCTGAGAGTTGGAAAAATAGGGATTGCTCTAGCAATTCTACACCTGAAACTGGAGGCTTTTAAGATGCAGCATTTAGAGCCCAGCTCAGGGCACAAGTGCAGGTCATCAGAACTTAAGGAAGTGTCTTACTCACAATGAAAGCCTTCCTCATGGGTAATGCTTGCCTCACAAGGAGACTTTGTTTTCTAGGCAGGCACTTCGTCTGAATGTGCCTCCACCCTTAGCCAACTGTACTCCCTTGGACTAACTGGCAATGCAACTTCTGCCTCCTAATCAGAAGGAAGGTTCTCATTCCTTCAAGTCTTGACGGAATAATGTGCTCCAACGGAGCAAAGCTCAGGGAACCAAGGTTCCATTTAGAAGCCAGGAAGCACTTCCTGACAGTTAGGACCCCGAGGGGGTGGAATGGGCTTCCTCGAGAGGTCGTTGAGGCCCCATCAGTGAGGGTGTTCAAAGATAGGCTGGACTTGCACATGGTGGGCATGTAGACTGTCCAAGAGGCCAAACTCAGCCTGCCTGGGGAACCAATCCAACCCCAGGGATTCTCCAGATCAAGCATCTCTTGCCACAAGCTCACCCCTTTTCTCCAACCACAGTCAGTTGGTTCTGTGCAGGTGTTTCCCCATTCTAAGAAGTTGCAATGCCTTTCCTAGGCATTACCAGTAAGAACTTTCAACTAAAATGACCCCCTTTGCCTGCGCCTGCCACTGGAATGCAGTCCTCAGAGCTTCTCCAAAACTGAATTCAGTCCTTGTACTTCAGTTTCCTAGCACTCTATGATGTAGATAACAAGAACTCTGTCATTTCCTGCTCTTTCGAGTAGCTTTTGCAATGTCAGTGTTCTTTTTAAAATAGAGAACTTGGGAACATGTGCAATGAATGACAGTCCTTGTCTATAACCTACTACTCTGACACAAATATGTCCTTTACTGGTGTCATATTCCAGTGCTTCCATTAGAGTGAAACCAGTTTCTGGGTCTGCTGTCCACAAAAAAATCTGCCAGTTGAATCTAACTTTTGCACGTCTTTTCTGGCAGTCTGGAATCTCTTTGACACGTTGATCTTTGCTGCTTCCAACAAGGTAGGATGAAGGATTTAGTTACAGCCTTCAGTCCAAGATAACATCTTTATTCAAGGAATGTTTTGAGAACAGGAAAAGGAGTTTCTCAGGTTTAAAGGTCTGGAAAACTAAATGATACTTGATCAGCTTTGCCAGTATACATGTTTTTTTTAATTTAGATTCTTTTAAATGTCCATTTGGTTTTCTTAGGTTTATGACAACAGAATTAAAACTATGACCATATGTTTTTATTCCCCTTAAAAAGATCCCAGCTTTCATTGTTCCAGAAAGAAACATGGAAATGAGAACTTTGGTGTCTGAAGTACAAAGGGCCGTTCAATTGTCATCATTACTGGATTGGGGAACCAAGTGGTGAAGATTGAAGCTCACACAATGTGCTGACCAGGTAACTGGAGAGCTAGACTTCTTTAAGAAAAGGAACAAGTAGGAGGGGAACAAAAGCTAGAATTAAGATGTGTGCAGCTTTGTTTATGCCCATGTTAAATCACAGCTTGTACTGCCAGCGAAAGAGAAGTGGCCTGGGGGAGGAAAAGTTTTTTGTTTTGTTTTTTAAAGCAGATCCTCAAGGTCCACCAACTGGAGCCAGATGCAAAATGGTAGCTTATTTATTTTTTCAATTTATTTATTTATTTCATTCCATAGCTTATGGGGTGGAACCATTTATCTAATGCACCTATAAACCCAGGGCGTATAAATTATAATAATTATGTTCTATGTTTAAATTAGTATACAGGCATGCCGTGAAAAGTGTCCTTGTTTCTGGGGATGCATGTTTTTGGCAATTCACAAGTACCACCCTACTAACACAACAGCCCCTCTCCTGGTTCTTCCCCTTCAGGGTAGCACTTCTGTCACATGAAACGGCAAACTACCGCCACTGGTAAATTATGACATTTTACTTGCAGCCACTGATTTGTGTTGCTATTGTGAGTGCCATGTTTGACAGGAACAAGAGTGTGTTTCATTGGCTAATCCTTTTTCTAATCTGTGATAGCTCAGCACATTCCAATGTCCTACCACTCAGGCAGGGGAGGGACTCTCTATATCAACAAAACAGTGACAATGACCAGCAATGGTACCTTCTTCATATCTCTTGCATCAATTAATGCAGCAATTATTAGGATTTTTAACCTACTTTTCCTCCTCCTTTTATACTTTGCAACATAAGTCCAACAAATAGCCATTAAAATAGGCTAACCAGCTAAAGACAAAGACGAACACAAAAATAACGCAAACTGACAGTTGATAAGTAAAGTTAAGCAACAACAAATGTTTAACAGTAAAATGTCTTCATTTACCAACAGAGAGGAAGATACCCTAACCCTGGGAATAGGGCAACTGACTAGATTAATGAGAAAATAGAGGCTTAGTCTCTACATACACTGATATAATTGAACTTAATCTGACATCAAAAACCAGGGGGAAAACAATTCAACCACCCAGGACTCTCTGTAACTGACCATAAAATGGCTATTCTTGAACAAAGAAACTACAGAGGGAGAATGCAAGATCAAAACACTGGCCTACTGTAGAAAAGTGTGTATCACCTGTGGCCCAGGCTGGGATATTTTTCGGTGCACACCACAAGTGTTAATTAGTTTCCAATGCCATCTGCCTTTTGTGAATGGCCAATGATATTGTGAATGATAGCATGATCACCCCTATCTCTACACGAATCCCCTCCAACCCTTCTTGCCCAGCCAGCTAGATCAATCACCATGCTGACTGGGGCTGATGCATATTGTGGGCTAGTCCCAGAATGTATGTTTAAGGAGAGGTGCCAAACATTGCTGGTCTCTCAGTTAAGCCAGTGGAGTGACTCCATTCTCTCTTCCTCTGTTGCAGCCTGATGGAACGGTTCTAGCATAGACCCAAGGCATGCTCCTATGCATATTTAGAAAGAAAAATGCCCGGCAAATCTCAACTGCCCAGCAAGTTCTTTCCCCCTCCCTGACTTCCCATACATAGGATTGCACCATTAGACTATGTGTGTACCTACCACATTTCAGATTTCTAGGTGCTAAAATCCCAGTTCCTTGGAAGCAGCATAACCAGGACAGCAGAGGTGTCCTTGGGGTCAGGCCAGCAGGCTGGAGCCCCACCACTTTCCCTTGGAGCCCTGAATCTCTGGGGGCAGCTGCCCCACCACCCTGCTGTCCATAGCCCTTGCTGCAATACAGGTGCAGAGAACCTGCTGCTCCCCGTGGCATCCGAGCCCCCAGGCAGGCCCCCGGGCGTCTGGCTCACCTGGGCCTGCCCCCCAACTGCCTGCGCTTTCCCCCTGACAGTCAGCGCCCCGAAGGCCCTTTTCACAAATGGGGCTTCCTCAGGCGCGGCGGTGCACAGGCCCCGTGCCCTCAGTCTGTCCGCGGCAGGCTTTCGCTGGCCCCCTCGGGTCGGGGAGGAAAGACGCGGGGCACGGAGGGAGCCGGCAGCCCCGTCCCCGCTGCGAGGCGGCGGCGGCGGCGGCAGGGGCCTCCCGAGCGCGGGGCTGGGGCTGGGGCGGGCGCCCGGCCGTGCCTCCGACCCGCCCCCGCCGTCCTCGGGCGGGCAGGCCTGCCCGCGCGCTCTTCCCGCCCTCCGCCGCTCGCGCTCCGCCTCGCCGCCGCGTCCTGCCCCCCAGCTCGCCGCCTTCCGTGTGTGGCCGCGGCCGCCATGTTGTTGTGGTCGTGAGGCGGGAGGCGCAGGCTGCGCCGCGGAGCCCGAGCCGCCGCGACGACGCCGCCGCCGCCGAGGAGGAGGACGACACCGAGGCCAGGCCGAGCGACCACCCCTTCGCGAGCGCCGCCGCCGCCGCGCCCCGTTGGGGGGTGGAGGCCCCGCGCCATGGCTGGACGCTGCCGCCGCCGCCGCCGCCGGGTAAGCGGGGCCAAGAGGCAGCGGCGGCGAGGAGGAGGAGCAGTCCGGAGGGGCGAGGGACGGCCCGGGCCTGGCCGCGCGGAGGCAGCCCGGGCCGAAGCGAACCGGGCCCGTCCCGTCCGTCCCGTCCCGTCCCGGCCAAGGAGTGGGCGGAGGAGCTTGGCGTGGCCTGCGCGCCCGGCGCTTGAGGGGGCCCGCCGCCGCCCGGGCTCCTTGCCTCCGCCGCCCTTTCCCTGAAGTGTTGCCCTTGTCAGAGGCGGGGGGCCGGTCTCTTGCCCTTCCCACTTGTGGCGGTGGTCGGATCGCCCCGTGGTGGTGGTCTTGCCCTCGGTGAATCATAGGGGAGGGGGCGAGGCTCGGTCCTTTTCCTGCGCTTTGCATATGGTCGTGCTGGGTGGGCAGCGATTCCGGAGCTGTGAATGACGAAACGGTAAAAACACGAGTGGAAAGCAGTGCATGAGGAACAGGATGACACTTAAAGCTGAGGCTGGCCAGTCAAGGAAAGGCCTTTGGAACAAAGGTGTCTTCAAGAAGCGCCAAAAGTGACCCAGTGTCAGAGCCGCTTGAGCACCAGAGGCCTGGAGTTCCATAAAAATCGAGCGAGTGCACCGAAGGCGCATCTTTTGGTGGACTGCAGCAGGTCCATCGGTTCGTGCAGAACCCCCTGGAAATTTATTTCACTTCATTTATTTACTTGAAACATTTGTATGCTGCCTGTTGTGCCACAGCAGATCCATTGGTCCGTGCAGAACCACTAGGAGAATGCCTACCCTCAGTGGCCAGGGATGCTGGCAAAAGAGAAGGTGCTCTCTCAAATAACCTGGACCCATTTCTAACCCCAGAGATGTTACCAGGTTAGAGGTAAATGCATATGGATTTCTTAGGACAGGTTAATCTGCAGTACAGCAGGAGGTGTGTCTACTCACCTCTCATTTGGTTCAGTTCAGCTTACTTCTGGGGAAGGTGTGTTATAGGATTGCAGCCCTAGATGACTAACTAGTAAGCTATCTTAAATGGGTAGTCTTGGGCAAGCCCCACTCCCCATCTCTCTCAGCCTTGTACAATTTATTATATTAGGATAGTGACCCTGTGATACTTGTTGTTATGTGCTGTCAAGTCACCTCCAACTTACGGTGATTGTATGAATGAAAGCTGTCACAATGTGGTGTAGTGGTTAAGAGCTGGGACTGGGACTCAGGCGATCTGGGTTCTAGTCCCCCCTCGGCCATGGAGCCAGCTGGGTGACTTTGGGCCAGTCACAGACTCTCAGCCCAACCTACCTCACAGGGTTGTTGTTGTGGGGATAAGATGGAGGAGGAGAATGATGTAAGCTGCCTTGAGCCCTTTGTAGGAAAAAGCCAGGATATAAATTGGAAAAAAAAAGTCCTACCCATAACTTTCCTGTTCAGCTATTGGAAATTCTAGGCTGTGGCTTTCTTTATGCAGTCAATCCATCTCATATTTGGTCTTCCTCTGCTCCTGCTGCCTTCAACTTTCCCTAGCATGACTCTTCTCCAGGGAGTTGTCATTCTTCCTTCTAGGGAAAGCTCTGGCTTGATCCTGTAATGTAAAAGTCAGTGTTATTGTGGATGGGACTAGGTCTGGTGAGTGTGTTTTAGGGAATAGTTGCCCCACTTAACGCTTAATGCCCCACTCGGTGTGTTTATGCACAAAGTGGAATCAGGGATTGCTTGGCTCACACTAGAGCATGTAGTCTGGGCTGCTTTGGCTTTGTTTAGAAGTAAAGTCCCAATTAATTAAATGGGTATTTCACCCAAATTAGCATGTCACACAATCCTGTATGTCAGATGTGAAGACTCACTGAAGTACGTGGTACCAAGTAAAGGTTCATGGAATTACAATTTTGTCTCAGCCCTGATGGAATGTATGTATAAAGTGTACATATATATAAAGAAATATATTAGAGGTGTACTTGACTGAATGCATCCACATTTTAGGCCTGTGACTGATTTTTTGTATGGCAGAAATTTAGGTTCTTTTTTTACTTTCTCTCACATGGTATGTTTCTCCTTTCATTTTCATCCCCAGAGCTTGAAGTTGATACTTAATCTTCTTGCCCACCTCCATGTTAATAGCACTGTTTTTACCATCAAGTCACCCTTGTGTTCCACAGTAATTAATCCAGAGCAACTCCCATCTTGTGCTTCCATACTGCCATCACCATGTAGATTTCAGCAAACTGAAAAGGGTGTGAGGGAAAATCCGCCCTTTGTGTGTCTGTAATCTGTGATGTGCCTGTGATTTAGTGATTGAAGCAGTCCTGCAAATCACCAGGCTCCTGCTTGCCTGTGGTGAGTATTAATAATCCCAGGTGACTAGGAAGGGAGTATGACAAAAAAACTTAATGCCAGACAAGCCTTTAATGACTAAACACAAGTCTGTATGGACACACTGGCTCGTAAATATTTTTGATGACTATTAAATTCTGGATATTAGTTTGCAAGCCTGCACTGAAGCATGATAAGGGGTGAATAATCTCTGTGAAGTATAGGATGCTTGCTCTTGCATCCCTTGTGCATCCTTGTGTGTTTGAGAAAGGACTTGTAGTATTAGAGTCCTCGTTCCATACAACTCAGCAAGGATGCTACTCACTGTGGGGTGACTGTATGAAGTGTGCCCAGCATAGTTCAGGATACCTGCATATGAAAGAGTGAAGATTGAAGGAGCTGAGTTGACCACCTACCCTGTGCCTTGCCCATCACAACACACCACAGCTTATAAAAGGACCTTACAATCCCTCTATCACTGCATGGTTTTGCTGTGATGTGATGTTAATTTTTCTTCTCGCTCTTACGTGATATGTTAGATTTCATCTAGAGGTAGTTGAGTCCAGAACCTTTTCTGGAACTCTTTCCTTGTGGATGACAAGGATGTTTGTATGGAAAGATGGGAGTGTGCAACTGCAGGGGTATAACTAGTAGAGTCAGAATGACAATTTCAGATTGTGAGGCTCTGTTCTTGCACTTTGACAATGCAGGTCATGTTGGAGACCAATATCTCATTCATGCTCTTTTGAATAAGAAGGGCAGGAGGTGCAGAGGTGGCATACAGAGTAAAGAAGATATTGGTATGTGCCAGATTATTTTCCGGGTTTACAAAAGAGATTGCCTTTTAGTATGGTCTCAACAAGACTCTCCAAGATTGCCTTGAAAGCCAGCTCTTTTGTTTTTGCATATACTGGTGGTATTCTTACTTTTGCTGAGAATTTAGTTTTTTACTTAGTATTGTATGCTTTGTGGTCTTTTCCAGGTCAGTCTGATTACCTGGAAAATGGGTATTTTAGAAAATGGCTTATTAATTTATTTGTTTATAATTGCATGGGAGCTGAAGTGATGCTGCTTGCATTCCACAATAGACATAACACTTCTGCAAAGAGACTGCTTGTGAATGATCCACCTGAGTTCCTAAAGCTGCAATCTGAGCACACTTACTTCGGAGTAAACCTGTTTTGACCATCCTGCAGTTTACTTAAGCATGCATAGGACTGGGTTATGTGTCTGGGTCTGGTGTTTCAATTGATGTGTAACAAATTTAACTCCAGATACACAAACACATGCTCAAAGCATCTTGTAAGCTATATGACACAAAACCATGTGAGAGGGAAAAGGTACAGCTTCCCTTTCCCACCTGGAACACGTGAGTTCCTTGCATTCTTGATTAGAGTGTAGAACTGCTACTTCCTATCAACTGCAAGAAAGTCTGTGCATGTCCGGTGTGCAACTGATAACTCCTTAAATGTTCCATTCTCGTTCCCTGTGATAGTGTGGATAATCTCTGTGGTTTCTTTCCTTCACCTACTGCTTTAGAAATCCAGGGTGGACATATATTCTGTCTTGAAGAATAGGTCTTATTAGGGCCTTGAAAACAGTAGTTCAGTTTCAGATGTACGAGGAAAGAGTGATTATATACCATTCAAACATTTTCACTCTATATGAGAAGACTTTTCTAGCTTCTAGCAAGAGGGTGGCCAATGGAGGAACACTGACAAGTTTTGATGCAGATTAGAAGCAATGATACTTGGGGATTTATGAGGTGGTTGTTGTGAATGGGGTACTAATATAGCTTCAGACAGTTGGATGTTACTTGGTTAGTGGGACGCTGGAGTTGCTATCCGCTGTGTCATTTCTTGTGGCAGTAAGCGAAATATCTCCCAGTACACGGTGCCATGTTGAGCTGTATGGAGATTGTATAACTGCCAAGGTGCTAAATGAAAAATGAGGGGGAGGGCAGGGAGCTAAGATGAAAGTTAAAGGGATACTTACTGTTCTAGGGCAAAATTGCAGGTTGCTGTTATGCGTAAAGGGAATATATAATCAGATATGATGGAGGAAGGCTCTCCACCTTGATATTTGAAATAAGTGATGCAGCTTCCTGAAGAATTATTCCAGCTGACATTGCTCATGCTACAAAGTGCTTTTAAGGAGTAGCAAAAGGGTTAATTCTTAGCAAATATATATTTTAAGTAAATTTTATGTTCTGGAACAGAGGAACACGTGTCCATCTAGACTGTCTGCACTAACTGGCTCTGGCTGCCCAGGGTTTCAGAGAAGGGTCTTCCCCAGCCTTATCTGGAAATACCGGGAATTGGCTTGGGACCTTTTGCAGTCAAAGCACGTACTCTGTACAGAACATTGGCCTTCCTTATAATAGCATGTCTCATGAAGACACTTTGCACATACGTATTTGCTGCTGTAAGTTATAAAGCAGCAAACACTGCTGAAGGGAAGGTTTGTCCTGTCCATTAGGGGATTTTACCACTTTCAGGCAGGTAATAGCAAACTCTTTTACTTGAAATGGCTGCTAATGGTGAGTTTATGCAAAGTTGACCAAACTCTTGTTTATAACATGACAAACTTAGTTTTCAGTGAAAAAAAATCTGTTAAAGGGCAATAATAAGAGACATCTGTTTCCATATAAGAACTGTTTCAAAATAAAAAATTGCTAAGTTTTTATGAGCTGGCATGTATGCCATACTGAAT